GGACTCTGAGTATTTCTAATGATGTTTTAGCAAATAATCTTTCGCTCGCATTTAAAATCAAGCGAAGGACATTACCATTTTTTCAAGCTGTAGAGCTTAATCAGTTAAGATCTATGGGGTTTTGCTTTTTATGGGGAAAGAAAAGGGGAGCTTGAGCAGTACCTTGGGATAGCGGTCATGGGTTATTATACCAACATACTCAAATATAAATCTACACAGTCCTTTGCCTGAACTGATATACAACAAAATTGCCATATACTCATATGATTCAATTTCATGTTGCTTCAGGTTAAAACAAGCCACACTTTCATGTTTGAATACAATTCCCATGACTGTAGTTTTTACAGTACATTTATGCATAGCCTAAATCACTCCTGTGCATAAAGATTTATAGAAAATAAGGGTGTTGGAGATAAATAATAAAACACCTTTTTTCCTTTCTTTTTCTTAGAGCACACCAATTTTCACCTTCCAATACAACATTTAAAAAAAAATCCATATTGCCATTCATTCTCACAAAAATTACCTTTTTAATACAGCTAAAAGAAAGAAAGGCACTTCTGAAAATGGATTCTGATGAATTATTATATAGAAATTCTTTTCTAGAAAACTGTGGTAATGTATGGGAAAATGTGAGTGCATAGAAGGTTGTTAAAGGAAAGGGAAAATCATCCTTCCAATGACTTGTATAGAAGCCATTGATTTCTCCTTCATTTTCGATCTGCCATTAGTTTCAAAAAAGTGTACCACTTAAGTGGAAAGGGACAACATGACATTTATATTTCTAGCATTTATGAGTTTGTTTTGCTTATTTTTAACACTGTGCTATAAGCACAAGTCCAAACTTGGCATGCAGTCTAAATTTGGTCAGTACAGGCACGCACTCTTAAGTCAGTCTTTGGTTGGCCCTGCACAAATTCTTGAAACCACAGTATGAGGAGAACCTTTTCTTTGCTAACATATTCAAACACCATCATCCATAACAAAAAAAATCTGTGCAACTGAGAGGACATGTCAGGTGCTGGGATCAGTAGGAGGAAAGGGGCAGGTGTGCTCTTTTGTCACCACCAGGTCAAAATAAAAGCAGACAAGGCAAAGAAAAGCTGTACCATAAGACACGGGATATGAACTCTACCAGTGATCCAGAAAGTGCTGTTGTTATCCCAATGCAGCAGCAAGGAAGAACATTAGGACTTATAGCTGATATGGAACTAATCTGTACCCTATTACTCTGAATGAAACTGTAAATTTTGAGAAGCCTTTAACCTCTGTGTAAATGATGGATGCTAAAGCAGGGAACCAATCACTCTGCCTCCATGCACTTTGCACAAGAACATCTGTACATATGAGGCAAGGTTCTGCTCATGCCTGCAAAACCAAAGAAATGATCACAGTACCACTATTCTTGCCTTTTTGTTGTTTTTGCTTTTTGTTTTTTTAGTTTCTACAACAGCAACTCAGTAACTTGCACATGCCACTGATTTTTTACTCATGGCACATGCATGACTGCATAGAGCCCTACCTAAATAACCAGGTGGCAGTGGTTCATGCCCTCTACTCCTGTCCAATGAAAAATGCAGAAATGCACCAACAGTCAATAAACTATACCATATCTACCCCACTGGCAAGTAATGTACAGTTTTTGCTGCATGCGCCAAGTTCCTTTCATTGCAAGATTTGCTCTGTAGAGCGACAATGACAACTTGATGCAGCATGTTAGCACGACTGAACAATTTTTGATCGCCCATCCTTATTTTCTGATATTATTCACTAAGGTTATTAATTTATAGTTATAATAATTGTTATTTTGTAAATAGACACAACTGGAAAACAGATTAAGCACTCAGATTTCTGGACCTAAAATATATAAAACTGAAAAGAGAAACATCAATGTTAAATGGGTTTCCGCTGTGAATCTATGTAATTATAGACTTAACAGATTTGCTTCTTGTGTATACATCAACCCTCAAAGCCAGAAAGACCCTTACTATACAATTTCATAAGCTCCCTAATTTAATGAACTTACTATTTTCTCATAAGGTTCACAATCTGTAGCAGTATCTGGATTCTCAGGTCTCTTGTGTTTAAAGTTTTCTGGTTTCTGCCTTCTGATGGTGATGTCATTATGTAAACCATGCCTTTGTAATCTTCTAATTGGGCAATGGATGCATTATTCACATTTCAAGGTAAAAGTAGTATGTTTCATAGTGAATATCAGTACAGATTTCACATTCATGCCCTATACTACACCAATTCTGTTGTCTACTGAGTTCATGAAGTTATTCTGGTCTAGAGACATCCAAGCGATTTCTGGACCTTGTAAGCTGGTTAAGTCTTCCCAGATCTGTGGAGACACCTGCTTCAGAGACAACTTGGTTTAAAAGGAAGGTAACTGCATCTAAGTTACATTTTGTAAGGTGTCAGAGCTCTCCTCCTGCACACCAATTCTGTGTTTTTTTCTGTTCATCATGTTAGAATTATTTTGGAAGGGATTGGAAGAACTTGAGAACAAAAGAAAAATAATAAGTGGACAGCACGCTATGACAACTGGAAAAAGAGGGCCTAGCAGTTACACAAGCATTTTCAGACAGGGGATACCTCCTCTTTGTTACTAAATCTGCTGCCTAATTCCTCTGTGGTACCGCACAAATCTGTCTCACAACCTCAACTCTGGGTCTAGAAGATGAAAACAGCAGCACTTCCCTTACTTTTTTGTGGCAAACAATGCACTGAAATCAGTAATGGGTACACAGCTGCATGTTGGGATCAGGAGTTACTATGGGTCATGACTGCAGTTAAGTAATGAGCAAAATATAGAAACAAACTAAGAACTGACTTTCCATCCCCAAAATTCCATTTTGAAGTACGCATTATATGAACGCTCTATTTACAAGCACAGTTTTATATACCAAATTATTGAGATTTTATTTGCTTTAGAAGCATTTTATATTGCAGTTAATTAAGATTTTCATGTTTCTTTTTCTTTTACCCTTCTAGCAAGAAGCTTCCACTTAAAATCTTTCAAGAAGTAGAAAGTCGAACATGGTACTTCACTGCTTGCTAGAGAATGACTGCAAAAGGTCCTAGCTTTCATCTTCCTCAGCTTCTGTATTTGCCAAGCTGTGTCCAAGCAATTTTACTTCATCTATTGTTATTTATATAACACAGGATGGGTGCAGATCTTTCACAGTCCCTCTAGTTCTTTAAATTATTATCTCAGGTAATAGATTTACCTTCATATCACCATATACAAGACGACTAAAACATTAATGCCTCCAATCAGACTGCTTATTATTCCTTTTGTTTTTAACTTTCATAGCAGAAGGGGCATTTTGAACAGCTACCTTCTACAAGCAACAATTTTTGAAAGATCTTGAAGACATCTTTGCACCCAAGTTTTACTCTATTTTATTTTTTGCACCCGGTTTTATTTTAGTTTTTAACCAGTATGATTTAGTGACTCTCATACATTCTCCAAGCATTGTTTCTGGGTGTCAAGAGCAGATTGCTTACACAAATTTGAATCCCACAATATAAATGAACACAGACCAGGACAAAAGGAAATACAAGTTACCTGTACCTCCGCACATATGCTCTCAAGCACATTCCCATTACCTAGTTTTACATTGGTGCTTGTGAGCATTCTTTCTGGTGACTTCTGTGGGAGCTGTAAGTAAACCTTTCTAAAAGAAGACTCGGTTAAGTTGAACATTATTTTTTTTTCTAGTAGACTACATACAATATATGTTTTGACTCAAATCTGTAAACTCATTCCTTTGTTGAGGAGCATTTCCATTATTAAAAAAAAAAAATCTAATGCATTATTCCATCAAAACAGTGGAACAGAATGCAAAAGAATGAGTTTCTGGACTGGTCATGCAGTAGCTCTAAAATTAAACCTTAAGAACTCCCCTAAATACATTTTTATCCATTCTTATCGTACATTAATAACTGTTTGACCTGCCTTACACTCTATTAGAGGACTGCACATATTTTATGTTATATCAAAATATCACATTAAGATGACAATAAAAATCAACAATACAAAAACTAAGACCAATCTAGAGCTTTTCAGGAAAAAAGAAATCAGCATTGCCAAAAAGCTGCCTTGAAACTATATATGAGATTAATAATTTTCTATTAATGGTGTACAAAATCTGATCCAACAAAACACACAGAACTATGACTAAAGACGTCCTAATGGTAGGTCTTAAAGTTACTCCATCAACACCCGAATCTAAAAAAACAGGTAAGGAATGAGTGCCACAGAGAAGAATTAAAAGGAAAAAGAAAAGCTTATTTGTTTTTCTTTGAGGCTTAAGAACTTTGCAAATTTTTCCTTGAACTCTTAATAAAACATGACTCAGTTTTCAACTGCAATAACCCTTCAATCTTCTACCCGCAAATGCTTTCCCAGTATTGAAAGAACCATTTACGTTGCGCTTCACCCACCCTGCAAGATTTTCTGCACAGCTTTGATGGGTAGAGGACCATAACCTTACTGCTCTTCAAGCATTTATAAAGATATAGTGCAACACTTTGATTGCCTGTGTTTGTCATTGTCAATGAAGAAATATACAACTTGTCTTAGGAAAGCTACCCTTTGTCCAGTGTAGTTTTGCAATCAGTTATATTCTACACGAAAATGACTTTTGTTATTGCTAGTTTGTTATATTTTTTAGACATATAAAACTCATACAGCAATTCTTTCTGCTCATTTTTACAAACGCTCCCTCTTTTCCTCAGCTAAGATTTCAATACAATAGATAGAATGGCCTTTAAGAAATAAAAAAACCCCAAACCTTCCTTCAGCTTCAGTAAAAAGAGTACTTGCAATTAGATGCTACAACAGGAGGCAGACCATTGTCCCCATCAGTGCAGCTCCACTGCAGAACTTACTCACTGATGTTTGTGTTTAAGAAACAAAAGCAAGAAACAGAGATGGTGCAGATGGGCTAAGGCTAAAAAGCTGACCTATATGTCACCCCACCCCTTCTTACCCAGATCCATGCTTTTTGAGGCTTTCAGATTAATTGATTCAGACTGCTTGGCTGGTGTCAAAGATCTGAAGTTGATGTGCTGATCTGTGAAATGCACTGCTGAATTTATGATAGGACTGCAGGAACACAAAAAAAACAACAAAAAAACACCATGTAAAATATTTAGGCACCAGTTCAAAACACCAGTGAACTAATTAAAGCACATACAAATATACATGTGTTTCCTTCTCCAGTTGCTTACAGCCATGCATTATAAAATCAGTTATTGATCCTGAACTTCCTTCTCCGAGACTTGACACCTCCCGTCACTTGTTTTTCCATCATGGATGTAAATATAAATGTAAATGCTTAGTGATAACTGCTTTTAAACAATTCTTATTTTATTTAGCAGAAGGAAAGAGGAACATACCAGTACATGCTAATTTTTTCTTTGGGGGCGGGGGGGGAGGGTTGGTGGGGTGGGGTTTTTTTGCTAGTTCTATTTAACAACTGCATTTCCAAATAACATGCTACAGAAAGCTGGAAAAATACTGCCAATGTACATGGCTCAATTGTACTTCATCTGCTAATATAACTATTTTACAGCCTTGCACCATTTCTGCAGAGGCTGGAGCCTGGAGGTCTTATGGAGAGTGCCCAAAACACTCCAAAGAATTCCAAGGTATCATGATTTGTTATTTTGTTTTCTAAATATTTTACTTCAAGTTAGGCAAATACCTAAACATTTCAAAGTTCCATCCAAGTGAAACTCAAAGGAACTTTTCACCTGTGAGGAGTCAAAGCACTTCACTGCAATGCATCTGAAATCTTCCATGTCTCTCTTCAATTAGAAACACAAATTTATTTATATTTAAAATACTCTAAAACCAAAAAGCAGTTCCAAAATTAAAAACATTTATTTCCAAACTGTTCAATCAAAAGCTTTGGTTTTACAGTGTCAAAACACTTTCCCCTGTTTTTTGCTGAAACCCAATTTCAGTGAAATCAGCATGACTGACACAGCAATTCAATTTCAACAGAACTTAAGTACCAAATGAAAAACCAATACAACACAGGAAAAAAGCCAGGTTGGGAGAAAGGGCCTGTAAATTCATCATCGTTTTAATACATCATTATCGCTTAAGAGAATGTTTTTGCTCCCAGCTTGTTGAAAAATTAGGAACGGATTCTAGCAAAGAACTGCAGTTGAGAATTTAATGCAGAGTTCCATTAGTGTATGTAAACTTTTGTTTGTTCACCATGTCTTACATACCTGCCTGGGAGACCTGAAATTATGGAATCACTCTAGTGAAATTACTCCATGTTAGCAAAAGGACGATAGTTACAAGAGTCTTCACTGTATGAAGGATTCAAGGGTAACCGTAATAAAAGATATCTACTCTTTGATACAATGTGCAACCAGTCATTTAAAACATAGTTTTTAATCAAATCCATGCACACAAGGACAGAAGTATGGTGAAGTTTTTAGTTGAAATGCATGCTTTCCTAATATCATTGCACTGAAAGAGTTGCATGACTATCAAAACTGAATACACACAAAACGAGTAAACAATGTTCAACACTGAATTTTCAGCATCAGAAGTATGACAGCTTGAAATGATGCTTTGATTTGAATCCTGTCCTACTTGAGACAAAGTATATGCCATCATGAATTTGAACGTGTTTACCTTTTTTTCTGCGATTCCAAACTTCCTATTTACTGAGGAAATCAAAGCTTGTAGCTGCCATCAAGCATACCAGCCTTTACAAAAGATATTCTTAAAATACCTGAAAAATCTACCCAATGCATTTACAACTGCTCAAGTGTCCATTAGTTTTTCCCCTTTGCATTTTAATGTTCAAACTTACTGAAGCTTCATTCATCAAGAATGTCTTTGGCTGATGTGCTGCATAAGAAGATTCTGTTTCCTACAAACTGAATTCAGCTAGGACTTTTAAAGCCTTAAGAGACTTCAGGCACTGCATCTACACATAGCACCCATTGGTATAGTTTTAAATTTTTTTATTTTATTTTTTTTTAAATTGGGATTATGTTTTGGGATTCTTTTTGTTTCACTGAACACATGCTGGGCATTGTGATCCGTAGGTCATGGATAGCAGGTGTACTGCGGCTTATGAACAACTGAAATGAATAATGCACTAAATGCTCAAATAACATTCCCAGCTTACGTTAAAGGATCATCCCGGTGAATAAAAATGGTGGTACAAATTTTTACAAAACAAAAAGTGATTTTAGAATCAATTAAAACTACTATCACAACCACTAATGAGCAATTATGTCTGCAACTATTAAGAACAGTCAAAGTCCAACCTATGATTATAATCCTCATTCAGCAGATCCTCACTGGGATGTGGTGGGAGAGGTGGAGGGGTGTCATTTTCACCACTGCCACGATCAGACACTGGCAACTCTGAAACAAAAAGAAAAAACGGGTTAAATTAGCCACAGAAACAAGTACATTATGCCAGTTCACTGATCAGTGACTGGACTGGAAGGCCTCAAGCAATGTTGAAAGCGAGTCACAAATTACTCAAATCCCTAAACTAACTAAACTAGAATTAAAATCACACCAAGCAGAAAATATAGCCCTTGGAACTGCCTGAGCTGATTTTCAGATTTGCATATGCATAATTAAAGACAAATATAGGGAAACTTTGTGCTTATAGTGAAGTTGAGCACAAGGCACAAATTGCTTTAGTCCATTTGAGTGGGTTTTCACTTCTACATAGCTGCATCCTAACTGATTGTAGGTCATGCTTTCATTCCCTTTGATGGGGAGCATTTACCACCTTTCGTGTACAGAAGAGAACCACATTGTCAGCAACAGTTCAGGAGAAGAAAGATTTCTGTTATCCCACGGCAAGAGAAGAAAGAGGCATTTCTGATTTAGTCTTCATTTACCTACCATTATGATAATTCCTTCTTTACCTTTAACAAAAGCCATTCAGCTCACACCAGAAAATTACTTTGGACCAAGAAAAACATGAACTACTCAAACCATTCAGTGGTTTGCTAAGCAACACTTAGATACTTGCAAATATTTAATACGACTATTGTGCCTGCTGTAGGCGGCCCGTTCATTACTGTCCTGTAAATTCACCTCTCATCTTAAGGTGTGATCTTATAAAAAGTCCCTACATTTTTTAATGTAGAACATGTCTTCACCCCTCCAAAACTGAACAGGAAACATGGACACTTGATAATGCTTGGGTTTCAATAGCAGGTAAGCAGTTTAACAATACTGACATACCACACTTTCACATGATCTGTTCTGTTGCATTCAACGTTGCTAGTCTTTTTGCACAATCCTGTGTGAAAGTATTAATCTAACTTGAGAGAAAAAGGGTTTATAAGGAGGGGATCAAAGCAGACAGCAATACATAATATTTATTAAATAAAAGCACTGAGGTAGTTCTCTAAAAGCAAACAAACAACAAAAAAACCACAACAAAACCACACTATTAGCTCAAGTATCCTACAGAACTCCTATTGGCTGAATGGCCTCCTAAAGATCAGGAAGATAAGAAATAGTTCAAACCCAGTATCTCAGGAAAAGCGAGCACGTAATCAGAACAAAGTAAAGGTGAGCAGATAAAGAGAACAGTTCTAATGAGACCTTAAAAAATATTGATTGCCAGTCAGATGCAGAAAACAGGTATGCCACCTAACATAGATGCACACTGGCTTCTTGCATTAGGATCGCATTTTTTCAGGTTGAAATTTAAGGCCAGGAAACAGAGATGAGGAGTAAAGGGCAAGTTCTCACAGTAAAAAGAATTTAGCACAAAGGGAAACTTGCACTGCTCAACAAAATTAAATTATTTGAAAAATTAATCAGAAGATGAAAAGAATTTACTCATGTAAAAACAGTCAGAACTATCAAAAATAAAGACTATGAAGCTCTGCAAAAAAAAATTGCAGGATATTAAGCATGTAGGCAATGCAGGTGAAATTCCCTGTCACTGACTGCAAAGTGATACATATGGGAGTAGGAGAAAACTCTTGACACATACACAAAGGCTATTACTTTAGCAATTACCACTCAGGAACAATACAATAGAAGTGCACTAGACTGTTCTTTGAATATATGATTAGTGAAGTCAAAAGGAAACAGACATTCAGAGCCTTAAGAAAAGTCCAAACACTCCTTCTAGAACTCACAGTTAATGGTGTGCCTAGTTTTTAAATAGCATCTAAGGTTTCATTCTTCCTATCTGAAAAAGGATGTAATGTAACTGAGAAACATATTGAAAAGGTGGCAAGGGTAGTTGGACACATGTAGAAACACTCCTACAAGGCACACTGACTAGGATTCTTTGGTTTAGAATAAGATGCAATAAAAGGGGATCCAAGAGGAGTCTATGAAATTGTAAAAGCTATGCATAAGGTGATAAGGAAGATCTTACTGTCTCATACACAGTAACTAGAAGGCACTCAGTGTAACTATCAAGCAGCACACCTAGGACTACACAAAGCAGGAAACAGATGCCTAATGGACAGAAGGATGGGGAAGGGGAGGAATTAAAAAAAAAAAAAAATCACATCACAACCCACACCATGCTTTACCCTCTTTGTGCAGCCTCCAATAGCCATATCTGGAGAGGTTGAGCATATCACGCAGTTATGTTAACTTTGATTTGCAGTAACTGATACATCATTTCACAAAGGCTGTTTGGTGATGGGTTACCACTGGCATTTTTCTTGCAGTACATAAATGGTATACACAGAAAAACGTCAGACTTCCTGAGTGAATCAGAAATGATCACAAGGGACAACAGTTCACAGCAAAATGGGAGCAGAAGCAAGAGAGTGAGAGAATTTAACCTAAGAGGCGGTCACTGCCTCCATGTTCAAGATTTCAGGAAGTAATCTTAACAGATCCAGAGAGATCAGAAAAAGACCTAAGCCACTAAACAAAATGTACTGAATTTTCAGATATTAAACAGTTTGGAAGGGTAGATAATTGAGCCCGTCTATAAGATACATGTAACGTTCACAAGCAAAGTTTAAATATTAATTTAAAATCTCACTTCTTAATTTTCTATCTTCGAGTCATAGAATCTTTGAGTTGGAAGGGACCTTTCAAGGTCATCTAGTTCAAGCCCCCTGCAGTGAGCAGGGACATCTTGAACTAGATCACGTTGCTCAGAGCCCCATCCAACCTGACCTGGAATGTTTCCAGGGATGGGTAAAGCACATGTGGGGATGCAGGGAACACACAGTCTTGACGTTATCACACACGTATGAAAACAGAGATGCTTGTACAACCATGAAGACTCGGCAGTCTGTGGTAGTAGAGAGAGCTTACAATTATTCTACTACTTAACCGGAGAGATGACAGTATTTCCCCTATAACCATTTATAATGTAGGGTTATAAAAAAATATATAAGAACCTCTAATGAAACACATTCCAGTAATCTTTCAACACCAGAAATGTAAAGCTGCTGGCACTGAAGTATCAATTCTCAAAGAGGTTATTCTAAAAAACACCGAATCTGTGCAACAGCTTGGCAGCAAAAGCAGCGAGGACCTGAAGGCAGCAAGTATTATTCATGCAAAAATAGAACAAACAATGACATTTCAATATTGGATCAGTATCCCCTCCCCCTTTATTGAAATATCCACAGGCAAGACAAAATGTACTATAACCACTTTTCCCCAGACATTAGATTTTCTTGCTCATGTATAATAAAAAAGACTCTTAAAACAGACAGCAATATTAGCAGGCCAAACTTCAGTGTATTTTTGCTGAGCTTTCGTAAGAATTTTATTAGTAGGAGCAATGAATGATACTGGAAATAACTTACTAGAAAACGTTAATTGAGAAAGTGACATTTTATTAAATGTAATACAGGTCCTGTCATTAAATTCTTACATTTGATCCTGTATTATGTTAAAAATCTCATCTATCTTTTATTATTCTTCATAAAAATGTACCAACCTTACTTCTATATACAAGATCTGGATAGTACACCATAAGAATGTACAAGGGACTCTTCCTGCCTGTCACAAGAAGCTCAACATGTCTATGGTTCATGTCCTTAAATAGACACACAACCTAAAGTTCATAACTGAGTTAAATGACGATTATGCACAGGCACAGTGTTTTGCCTTTACAGATACCCTGAAAGACTGAGGACAAAACTTTGTAAGAAACAATGCAAAAAAGTTTTTGAAACAATGACTGGAAATAAGTGACAAACTCATAGGGAAAGCAGAATGAGTATTAGCTCAATAATAATGAATACTATAACTTCAAAATTAGAGAAAGATTTCTACAATGTGCAGGAGTATTGTAAGCCCAAAGTGTCTTTCACCAAGAAAATTTCAGATTGGAGACCCACTGCAGACACCCTGCTGCTGAAAGCGCCTGTTCAGTTTTCCATTAAGATCACTTAAATTTTACTCATGAAATGCCAAATCTTCAACTGAAATTGCAATACAATGATACTTCCAGTAACTGCTACAAACGACTTCATCATCTGCTGTCCACTGACTCCAACTCCAAACTGCGCCCAGGCCACGTCTGGGAAGGCCCAGTAATGCCAACCCCCGCCTAACAATAGCCTTCAGCAGCACTCCAGAGCATCCTTTTCCATACCTTACACCATTCTCTTTGGAAGTCATCATATTTTTTTGCTATAATGCCTTCTTATCGTCGTTCTTTAATTAAAGACATCTATTGAAAATACTTCTTGCAGGCCACCCAGATT